GTCCTCACGCTGGTCACTTCCGCTGCTTATGGTTTTAATAGAATTTTTAATCCACTGCATTTCTGTTTGGAGCCTTTTTATGGATTCTAATTATTTTCTCTCTTGGCCATTCCTGTTTTGCATCATTTGATTAGCTCTTCTGGCTTTTTATCAGTCTTCCGTAGACTTTTTTTTCAATTTAGCCCATTATCTGTTTACTTATGCCTTCTGAGAGTTTGCCAAATGCCTTATCTGTTTTGTTAGCCCCTCTGAAAGCATTTTGAATGATTTGGTTGTGTGGCTTTTGGTTCCCTCCTGTTGATGCCCATGGATTAGCTTTGGGGGAGTTTGGTTTTTTTGGAGGAATTTTGTTGCTTTGTCTTCTCATGTTTTTTTTTTTTTTTCACTTTGTTTGTTTTTGTGTCCAAACTTGTGGATTGAAAGTTTTGTGTCTAACGTGGAGACCTCTTTAGTTAATGGCTACTTTTTAGCAGTGTCCTCTGGGCATGGCTAACTATTGGCCTTTGCCTCTGTCCCGGGATCCAACCACCTCCATTTACTTGGGATAGAAGGTTGCAGCACATTTGTCCCAGTACATTGTTCTCCAGGAATGGGCCACAGTATCATTCATGATATTATTACAGATGTGGGCATCTCAAGAAAACCATTTAATACCAACAACTATGATATCTTAGCTATAGTAGTAGAATCAGTATCAGTTATAGCATCAAAGACAAACTGAATACTGACAAACCCTAAGGACCAATAATGTACCATCTTTAACCATAGAAAAAAGATCTATAATTAAAGTATGAATGCTAAAACAAAATAGTGACCTATCATAAATATCTACTAAATGGAACAACTTTACTTCTACCAACAATAGAACAGTATTGAACATTAGCAGAGTAAAGTTAACTAGCTACCCAAAGAGTCCTAAAGCTTAGTTATACTTGTAAAGGGAGAGGGAGTGGAGAACCAGAGAATGAAAAGAGTAAAATTTGAAAAATTAATCAATGGAATATGAGAGAGAGGAGAAAAAAGTGAAGTGGGGGTCCTATTGAGTAAAAGGAAATTAATAATTTTAGAAAACAGTTGCAGGAGAGAAAAAGAAGAAAAAAGAAAAATAGAAAACTAGAGGAAATAAAAGAAAGATCAGAAGAAAGAAAAAAATTAAAAGGAGAAAAGAAAACCTTAACCCCCCCCAAAAAAAACCTGATGAAAGAAAGAAAAAATAATAAATTTAAAAATTAAATAAAGTGAGTCAAAAAGCCTCTAAATTTTTGGTACCGGGGATGGAACTCAGGACCTTGGGCTTGCAAGGCAGGCACCAGAACCACTGAGCTAAATCCCCAGCCAAGCCTCTAAATTTTTGAATGAGTGATTTTTTTCCCAGGATCTGCAGTCTTGGAATCCAGCTAGTCACGATTTTCTCCACCTAACTTTAGGTCCTTTTTGAGGTGCCCTCCCTGCACCAGAAGCCCTTCCAGCTATTCAGGCACAACTCCGGTTCCTGTCCAAGCCAAGACACGTCCCTGCTCACACTGGTAGATGGGAAACACGATCAACCCTCTGGATTCTGCTGGATGTAGTGCACGTTGTGGGGGTTCATGTGGCCTAGAGTTGATAGTCTTGAGGTCTGGTTTCTCCCTACAAAGGACAGGCCCACTCTGGTCTGGCACTGGCCTCCTGTGGTTGTCTCTCACCTCGTCACTATGGGGGGCTGGTAACACTGGAGTTTCTCATGGTGCTGGCCAGGTCCATACTTCTCTGTGAGCCTGCTGGCTCTCGGGCTCACCTTCTCTCCCTGGCTATTGTCCTCATCCGGAGCAGTCAGTTGGTTAGTCTGCACCCGCACTGCTCTGTGCCAAGGGAAAGCAAAATGTACGGCTGGCTTGGCATTGGTGGATGGTCACACCCTCGCGTTGGGGGCTGCTGTGTGCCCAGTGCAGGCCTCCTTGCTTGCACTGTGGGGGGCACCCCTATTTTTTTAACCAAACACGAAATTGAGGGCACTGACCACCCTATCTTACTTTCCTCACTCTCAGTTAACATAACCTCTGCCCCTGTTTTCTGGCACTGGGCTAACCAGTGGTTTCCACCCCTCATCAGGGAATTCTTGTGATTCTTTAATGAAGCCTTAATGTTTTCTGTTTGAAATATTGAGAGGGTTAAAATGACTATTCTTACTGAATAGTTTTCTTTTTGCTTTTGTTGACATTAGTGTGCTGTGATTCATTGTACTTTCAATTGCCTTAATAGTTGAACAAGAATTGAATTTCAAGTATGTTAAGTTCTGTGTTTTTCAACACAACACCAAGAGAAGCTTACTTTGAGGTCAAGAGTACAGAAAGAACTATTATGCAATGTTTGCTTCTCTTTCTATTCAAGTATGAAATATGTAGAATTCAGAGGAAACAATCAGAACACTTGGGAATCAAGTGTCCCTAAGACAAGAAATAAATACAAGAAATGTTCATGAGGTTTTCTGTTCCTTGTTTTTTGGTTACCTATTAAAATGTGTGTTGAGCTCATGGGTCTAGGGTTCTAACAAAATTTAGGTAAAAGCTGATGGAAATAGAAGCCGTCCCAGAACCTGCTCTCCAAGCTCTGATGCCCAGTTCTGCTTGCTCACTTATAGTGTCTTGGATAGCTTCCTCCTTTTATTCAGCCAGGGTGCAGGCTGTTCTAATAGGCGGAAATACTACTTAGTCATCCTTTGGAATTTAGCTCAGAGGTGGAGTCCACAGGGAAGCCTTGGATCTCCGCCCCTGTGTGAGGGTCTAGATCATCCTGGTGCCCTGTACTTTTTTCCTACGTACTAGGAGCAGAGCACATAGTAGGCACCCAGTAAATAGTACATGTCAGTTAAATAAAAGTAGGTGACAGGGTGGTGGCTAGGTGTGTAGCTCAGAGGCAGAGCACTTGATTAGCATGCATGAGGCTTAAGAGTCCAAGAATAAATTCTAAGCATTACAACAAAGAAAAAAATTATTGCATAAAGGTAGCAATAAGTGCCAGGCACATTCACCACTTGATTACTCCTCACTATAACCCTTTAGTTAAATATTAACCCCATTTACAGATATGGAAAAATGAGATTAGAGAAAAAAATAGAGACCCAAAGAAACAGTTAGCATCAGTTAATTTATACTGAACTGGACAGAGCAGTAAACTGAAAATGTGATAAGACTTTAGGTGAGGATAATTAGGGTAGAGGAGTAGCTAGTAAGGTAAGGGTTAGTCTAACAGTGCTTATATGAGAATTTCATCTTCTGCTTTTGGGAAACAGCACAAAGGTCAAAACAATCTCATACCTGATGTTTTTTGAGTAACTAACTCAGTATGCCAGAATACTTTAACCCTTTTGGAACAGCGGAGACAACCTAGGTCACTTAAATGCCAGAGCCGGTGTTTCCTTTCGTCTCTTATTTGCCTGTGGCAGGCAGTTATCTCAGCATTGTATTATTTAATCTCCCATCGGAGAGATTTGATCGGGAATCCATCAGTGGGCTAATGGCATTGTTGTGCGCCTTCTCAACAGCTGTTCCCTTCCCTTGTCCCGGTCACAGGCCTCCTCTTCATTAGGAAGATACATACTTCCCTCTGCCTCTGCACGTGCTCAGCCCCAGGGAGGAAGCTCTGCCCTAGAGCGAGCCATCCATCCCCACCATCTTGTGACTTGGTACTGTCAGCTGGGCCAGTTTATGCTCATCAGGTCTTTAGCTGGAGTTTTTTGTGAAAGTGGATTTACTCTTTTCTATGGCCTTGGGTCCTGGAAGCATGAAGATTGCAATGTCTTCTCCATCTTCTCCAACTTGTTAATCTAATCGGACAGAGAAGGAGGGCAGAGATAACCCTAAGATAATCTGGCCCCTGATAACATTTCCTGAGCCCTGCTGAAGCTGTGCCTGAGGCTTTCCGCCCTTGTGCTTTTCATCAGTTTGAGTCTGGAAAGTCCTGTTTCAGTTTAAGCCTTTTTAGATTGAGAGTTTTGTCACTTGCAATCAATGGAATTCAGACCAACATAGGATATGAAAGGCGTGGGACATATTTCCACCCCACCCCTTTTCTGTTTAAGCCATTCCATGGGGCTTTTAGGATAACTGTGTTGTCTGGGCCTGAGAATGCACACTGTTAGAATATAATAAGGCAGCTAGGCTTTTCAAAGCAGATATTGAGGCTTGGGAATCTGGGCTTCTAAAACTTTCTCAGTAATTTGTAGAATAATTGTAAGAAACTCAATTTATTAATATCTCTCTCCTCAGTTTTTTCTATCAAAAGTGAGGGTGAAAGTTGCCACATCACTTAGAAAGGAGGGAGTACCTAGCACTTCGGTATTATCTTCCAGCGTGACAACACTTCACCGGGTACATCTGTGGCTTTCGTGTCTCTCAGTCACTAGATCTCCTTACCAATAGTGAAGAGGGTAGATGCAGGTGTTTCCTACTTTGGGAGACTACAGAGGAAGGAGATTTGTGTTCCAGAGCTCAGGAGAACGTAGGTAGGGACCCGCCCTCACTGTACCAGTAACTGCATGTCCAAGAGGTAGACATGCTTCCTGTCTTCTTGTTCCGTCCATTGCAAAATGAGATCTTTCCACTTAAACCTTTCAAAACCCATCATGATCCTTCCAGTATTGCTCTTTCTAAAATCTGCTTAGCTGTTTTTATATTTACCTAGCTGTAGGAAGAAAAATCTGTAAGTTTATATAGCTTAATTTTAAAAATGAAGGAGTGGCCTCTCAGAGACATTAAGGAAAATGAAATCAAGCTGGAAGAGATATAAACTATTTCATTTATTTCCATTCCTAAAATTGAATGTGAATTTTTTGGTTGGTTTGTTATTTAAAATAGGTTTTTGCAAAATAATCTCAGAAAATATACTGTATTTGTTAAATACATGCAAACTATTAGTGAAGATCCCATTAAATCCTCTGACTGAACAACCTGTCACCTCTTTTCGAAGCACTTTTGATGACTTTTATGGTTTCTATAATTGCAAAGAACAAAGAAAACATCTTTTGACAAGTGTTGAATTTTTATTTGAATGATCCAAAATACACTTGCCTACTTCTTTACAGATTCATGGATTGATTGGCTTTTTAGGGCTTCTCACATAGTATACTTAGTTGTACAAGCTTTTCCTAATTCCAAAGGCCCCTTTCCTTGCCTGCAATCTATTATAATTCAGTAAAGTACGTGCTAGACAGTAAGGAGAATGAACTCAAGAACCTTAACTTCCTAAATAGTTCTATGGTATACTAATATGTGTCAATATGGTCTTTATCTTAAGTATTAAGGACTGGAATCCAGGAAAACAAACTGGTGGAACACTGGAATGAAAGACATAAAGCTGAGCAGAACTGCATGTGGCAGGTCGGCACATTAATTCTGAAAGCCAAACAACACCTAGAATGACAGGTTCAGATTTCTTTTTCAGGAAATTGGTGCTAATTAGACATAGATTTTCAATTCGCCTGAATTTCTTTATTCGACTTGTGAATTATTAAGGTTTCTTCGCTGCTCCCTTTTCAAAGTCTTACTTTGAAGTGATTTAACTGCTTTTTAGTACCAAGCTCTGAAAGAGGTGAAACTAAAATCTGATCAGTAACAATTTAAATAAGATAATTGGAAAATTTTCCAAGTCGCTGAATGAAGTAAGGTTTGGAGATAATGGTGGACTTCAATGATGAAGATCCATTTTTTCCTTTGAAGGGAGACTTCAGAGGTTTTGTTGTTTGTTTGTTTGTTTTGGTTTGGTTGGTTTTCTTTGAGGGACAAAAGAAAATGGCTAAATAGGCTATAACAGAAACTTTTAAGGATGAATTCAACTTTACCAAAAAAGATTTTCCCTTTTCCCAGTTAGCGTGTTAAGCATAAAGCTGCAGCAGCTCTCCACTGGTTCCCTGCACTATTTTACAGCATAGCCGTAGATGTGAGGACGCACCAGTACCCAGGACAGTGGGGCTTGCAGGTGCTGCAGCCTCAGCTTGGAGAAGCCACCCCGCTCCACGGTCTTCCAGCTCTCCCTGGTCAGGCTGCAGCCGTCAAACACAAGGTTCCAGGAAGGATCAAAGACCTGTTGCCAGAAGTAATTCCACGTTGAACGCTCTGCTGCCACGTGCTCCAGGAAATAGAAAGCCCCTCCCTGAGAAAGAAAGAAAAAAGCTTTCAAGGATTTTGGTTTGGAGAAAACAGATTTATAAGCTGACTGAAGCCACCGATGTCAGTGGCCCCAGAGACCAACTTTATGAGAAGACATGGATAAACTAAAATTTGGTAAGACATGTTTTGGTCAGTAGTTTCAACTTCTGTCAAATATTATACAGAGCTGACAACGTAAAGCAATTAACATGTATTTTCTAGTCATAAGAATAATGCATAATATCTAAAACTGTTTGTTTGTTTGTTTGGAGACAGAGTCTCACTACGAAGTTCTGGCTGGCCTTGAATTCACTATGTAGCCCAGACTGCCCTTGAATTCACAGCAATTCTCCTGCCTCGGCTTCCAAGTGCTGGGATTATATAGGCACATACCACCGGGCCCAGCTACAGTAGCTAAAATTTAAAGCACTCACTGCATGCCAACTGTTATCCTTAATGCTTCTATGATAACTGAGTTAATCCTCTCAACAATGCTATTTGGTAAGTTACTAGTACCATCACTGGTCATAAAATGAGTAACTTGCCCAAGGGAACAAGGCTAATAAATGTTAGAAGCAGGCTTTGAGCCTAAGCAGTCTGGCTCTACAAGCTGGCAGTATTGCTTCAGCAATATATACCTATTTTAGAAGATTCAGAAAATACAGAAGTTTGAGAAGAAAAACAATGAGCTACTATTCCATCACTAGAGAGAACTACTGTCAAGATTTAGTGTGCATGTGGATTTGTGTATTTACCTTAAGATTTGAACTATAATAGACAGTGCTTTCCAACCTTATCTATTTTACCTATGTATTTGAATATTATTCTAAAACATGATCTAAAAATCTTCACACATTTCATACCACTGAAGGTGCCATAGCTTATTTAACCATTTTCATTCTCATTTAGGTCCTTCCTGATTTTTCATACTAAATACTGTCATAGTGAACATTCTTACATATTATAACCATCTTGATAAATATCTCTGGTTACTGCCAAACAAGTAATTCTGATTAAAAAAAATAATAAAACTGCTGAGCCAGTGGTATGTGCCTTTTTAAAATTATTGGTATAGGGCCGGGGATTTAGCTCAGCAGTTCCACCGCCTGTCCCAAAAGCCAAAGGACTTCGAGCCCCGGTACCCCCGCCCCCCGCAAAAAAAAGTAAAATCATTGGTATAAATTCTCAAATTATCCACTGGAGAAGCTGCATCACATTTATACTCAAGCCAGCAATGCATGTAAATATGCATTTCCCATAACCGGTTACTCACCACTTTAAAAAAAACTTTGCCAATTTGATGGACAAGATGACATTTTGTTTGTTTGTTTGTTTATTGGTACTAAAGATTGAACCCAGGACCTTCTCACTAAGCTACATCTTCAGCCTGTTTTTAATTTTTTTTTTAAGTTCTAAGACAAGGCCTTTCTCTAACCAAAAATTACTCGGGTTGGGCTCCAGGTTGCAGCCCTCCTGCCTCAGCCTCCTAGGGTGCCGGGATCACAGGTGTGCACCACCATGCCCAGCTTTAATATTCTTAATTAGGTATAAAGCCTTTAGATTGAGCTTATTGGTTAATGGGATTTTTTTCTTCCTTGATTCACGTGTTGATATCTTTTGTTATTTTTCTCTTAGATGTATTGGCTTTTTCCTTACTGATTTTATTATAATAAGACTATACTACAAATCTTTTCCCAGTTTACTGTTTACCATTTGGTTGCTTTTTTTTTTTTTTTTTGGTACCGGGGATCGAACTCGGGTCCTTGCGCTTGCGCAGCAGCGGCGAAACCGCTGAGCTAAATCCCCAGCCCTTTTAAACCTTTAATTCCCCTGCAGAATGTCCTCAGGCAGTGCCTCATAAGCCTATAGAGAAGCACCATAGAGTTCTAGCAGGAGAGTCGGAATCCACACCAAGCACTCCCTTGACCAAATAGCTGTGTTTTATACTTTTGTACCATTTTCATAAATATGTATATGATAAATGAAAATGTTGATTTATCTAAAAACATTATTGAGTTCATGGTGAGATTTTGTCATTAGGTATTTTATTCAACCTGTGATGCTAAGTGTAAATTATTGCCGTGTGGGAATAAGCGCCTGCTGCTTCCATCTGGGATAGTCTGCCTGGGTCAAGTACTGGCACCACAGACGCTGTGGCATACTATTGGAAGGTCTTCAGAGGTCTTACCTACCTCTGCAGGAAGTAGGGAAAAAGGGATCTGGCTGTCACCTCCAAAGATTGTGGAGACCGTCACACTCATCACAACCCTACTTGGCTGACGCAGGGTGTTTAGAGCAGTATTCAAGTTAAGTGATGGAGTTTCCCCAGGTTATGTGGGTAAATGTAAGTGAGGCCTGTGTTCAGGAATAGAAAACTTGGAATTTCCTGATTTAAAAAAACAAAAAGGACTGTTAGTATATGGCAAAAGATGAGTTAGAGGAGGAGACATAGGCTTAGACAGGTCGGTTTTGCCCTCTGGGTTATATGCACTGAACTAGAGATGTTGGAGCCTGCTAGCAGACTGACGGTTTGGGAGTGAGAAGAGAGATTTGAGGTAAACATTTAGGGTTTGGACTCTGTGTCTGTGTGGTAATTGAAAACACTGGCAGGTTCATGACACTGCCTGCAAGTATAGATAAAGGAGAGCCTAGAAGCTCCAGTGTCTAGGAAATGGTAGAAGAGATCAGCCTGAAAAGGTAGAAATGGTCAGAGATGAGAAGCTCCAGTAAAAGCATGTGGTACAGCAGCAGAATGTTTTCATTTAAGAATCAGACCTATTAGCTGTGTAACTTTAGGCAAGTTTGTCAACTTCTGAGACTGTTGCCTTGTCCCTGTGTGACGATAATAAATATCTGCTTTAAAGAACTGTCGTGAGGTTTGTGTAATAACGCTCCGGCTTCCACACCGTAGAGAATAGTGCCACTGAGCTAAATCCCTGGCCCCTTACAAAAGCTTTATCTCTACTTTTTTCTTCTATTCTCTTTTTTTTTTTTTTCTTGTCCTTTCCTCCTCCTTGCCAGTTTTATTTTCTAATAGAGAGAGTTCCTCAATAAGAAAAGGACTTGAAGATAGGGTTATATAATGCCTCTAAACCTGTCTTTGGCTCTAGGGTAAGCCGTTATCAATCAGTAAATAAGAATAATGTATTCTTACACTCAGATGCTGAGTTTCTGTGTCCTAATCCTGAGAACTCACTGGCACACTAGTTGATGTTTGGCACTTTCTACAGAAGATCTAAAAGAATGCCTGAAGAAACAATTAGAATTGTGTTTTTCAAGGTACAGAATTTTTAAATTGATATATCTGCTTTTTTTGAGTTAATTTGGTTAGTACATGGACAGTGCCTATGAAATATAAAAGAATGGCAGATGCTGTTTCCCTTTTTAAAATTAACCAATGCTCTTGCGCCGCCTTGAAAGCCAAGGTCATGAGTTCGATCCCCGGTACCAACAAAGCTTTTGTAAATAAGGAGGGGAAGAAGAGTTGTAGGGCGAGGAGCGGAATGGAAGAAAAAGAAGCAAGATATATCATGTACAGGTACAAATTCCTTACGATGAGTATGGTGGGGACTGCGTGGGCATAAGGGATCTGCTAACCCCCCACCCTGCACTCACCGGCCTCAGCACTCTGCGCACCTCGCGGAGGATCTGCTCCTGGTTCTGCACGGAGCACAGCACGAGGGTGCAGACCACCACATCCATAGCGCCGTCGGCCACCTGGTGCATGTTCTCACCCACGCCCACCATGAAGCGCTCAAACTGTAGGTGTCGATTCTCAGCGATGCTCTTGAACAAGTACTTCTCAAAATTGGGGTTGGGGTCAATACAGGTCACCCTGCACTCGGGTGGGTAGAACTTGAAGTTGGCCCCAGTGCCACAGCCCAGCTCCAGCAGGGAGAGCTTCCCGGAGGGGCCCACAAACTCCTGCAGGTTGCTGAAGAGCTCCCGCTTCTTGCTTGCCATTTGTTTGTTGTATATCACAGTGAACCTCGACAAGAAGCAGGGAAACCATATTTTGCAAATCCACTTCCACAAGCCCAGAAAATTCAGCAGGTACATGGGAAATAACAGGATGTAGATGACTAGCTGAAGGACAAAGATAACGAACGCCATCTCTGAGAGCGAGAGCGGAGAAAAAAAACAGCAACAGTTGGTGAAGGCGCTCTTTTGATGACAGGAAGCAGGCTGCTCCTGGCCGCCCTCCAGAGCCAATCAGCTGCAGTCAGGACTTGCAGGGCTGGAAGAGCGCGGCTTCTGGGGCGGACGCCGCTTTGGCAGAAGTTGGCTAGCCTTGTACGTTGTTTAGTGAGATGGGAATGTTCCCAGCTTTTCCCTCCGAAGAAGGTTGCTTACAACCCCTTATTCCAGATCTGCTTCCCTTTCTCTTTTGCTGATTTCCTGCTGGAGTTTTCTTTTGTGTACTTTGCACCCCACCCTGATTCCTCTAACTCTTTACAAAGGAAACAGTCTGTGAGTGGAGCCTGGTTAAGGCACAACAGAAGACCAAAGCCAAGGCCCCTTTACCACAATCCCAGCCCCACTATTTCCCCTGTCACACCTCCCCCGCCCTCTTCCAGCCCTGTTTTTTAAAAAGAAGGGAAAGGACATGCTTTGCCAACCACAGCCAGCAAGAATTCTTCCTTTTACATTCCAGGCCAAGGCTCTCCGATTTTAATGCAGGCGTGTTGTTAAATCACTGTTTGGGGCTGCCTGTCTCTTAGTCTATGTGCTGCCAAAGCGAGCACATGGGGCTGCCTGACTATATAAAGAATAAGTCTCTGTCTTTAAATTGTGTTTGACTACTGCATTGCTCAGCTAATTTAGAAAAATACAGTCCTGCTGGGTGTGGTTGCATACACCTGTCATTCCAGCACTTGGGAGGCTGAGACAGGGAGATCGGCTTGAGTTTGAGGCCAGCCTGAACTACACAGGAAGACCCTGCCTCAAAAATATTTTTTTTCTCAGAATATTCACATTTGGAGGCCCAAGGATTCAGAAAATAGTTGCAAGCATCTGTTTTTAACAAGAAAACCTACATTTTAGGATAGTTAGAAAACAGAGAAATTTTTTTAAAACATCAGTAACATTTATCTTTTTAAACTGGGTGGCAGATGCAGGGACCATTCTGTTGTTTCAGTATTTGTTTTACCCTACACAGCTTACATATTTTATTTTATTGATTACCCCTTACTACTACTTTTTTTTCCCTTGAAGTTTTAGGGGTCAAACCCCAGGGCTTTTTGGATGCTAAGCAAGTTCTCTATCACTGAGCTACACCCCTCCCCAGCCTTTTTTATTTTTTATTTTGAGATGATCTGATTAAGTAACAACCTTGAACTTGCCTCAGCCTCCTGAGTAGCTGGGATTACAGGTGTACATCATTCACCCAGCTCCAACTCCAGTCACTTGTGTGGTTTGAGACAGGGTCTCGCTGTGTAGTTCCTGCCTCAGCCTCCCAAGAGCTGGGATTACAGGTGTGTGCCACCATGCCTGGCTCATTTGTTTTTACAAGACAGTTTCTGCCAGGGTCGATAATTTCCTGATCCACAAGTGATATAATTACCTACCCCTTTGTAATTTTTTTTAAATTTTATTTTATTAGGACTTGTTTGCAGTGTAGGAAGTTTACAGTCATCTAAAGGAGGAGTAAGTATAGCTATGTGTGGTGGCGCACATCTGTAATCCCAGCACTCAGGAGGCTGAAGCAGGAGGATTGGATACAAGTTCGAGGCCAACCTGGGCTATATACTGAGCTCAAGGCCAGCCTGAACTGCATAGCGAAACTGGCAAAAATAAATAAATAAATAAATAAAATAGTTCATGAGGTGCATGTACATAACACAGCTGGTTTGTTTTTAAGTCCCCTTCCCTTTCCCACCCACCCCCTCCCTCCATCTCTAAATCTGCTTTCCTCATTTTCATTGTTGTTACTTTTTTATTTATTTATTTATTTATTTATTTTGGTATGGGGATCGAACTCAGGACCTTGCGCTTGCGAGGCAGGCAGTGGAACCACTGAGCTAAATTCCTCTGTTGTTACTATTTTAAATTCTTGTTTATGACATATAATGCCTACATTCATTGTGTGTATTTGGTTCATGTAAGTGACACATCTTAAATCTTTTTTAAAATTAAGTTTATTGGTACATTTTCGGTATACAATACAGTTACATTCATCATTGGGATCTTGTACCTTTACATGATGTATCTTGGTTCTTATTTTTTCCCCATTTCCCTGCCCTCCCTTCACCCCCTCCACCCTTCCCTATTTACAAAGACTTTATTTCCATTTTTTCACTTTCTCATATTAATTCTTTTCCCTTCTTTCCTTTCGCCTGCCCCTCCCACTTCCCCGTTCCTTTAGACCTTTACTTCCTATTTCACATTATCATTTATACCATTTGAACCTTATTTACACTTTTAGTTTTTAACACCAGAGAAACTATTCAGTATTTACACATGGACACATCTTAAATCTTTTTTACTTCTTTTTTTCCCTCCTTGCTTCCCTTGCCCTCATTCTCCTGGACCCCTTCCCATTTGCAAAAGAACTATCTCCTTGTTTCCTCCTGTCTTTTATTTTGCTCTTTATTTGTACTTTGCCTTACTCAATAGAGATAACATATGGTATTTAAGTTTGCATACCTGATTTATCTATTTTATATAGATAAAATATGTTAATATGCAAAATATATATCCTATTATATATTATAAAATATATAAATATATGTTTGTATGTCTGTTTTACCTATTTTATCTTCCAGTAAGTTCGTTGTTTTTGGTATTTGTTTTTTTGTTTTTTGAGGGGGTAACAGGGATCAAACTCAGGACCTTGCGCTTTCGAGGCAGGCGGCAGCACCACTGAGCTAAATCCCTGGCCCCATTGTTTCTGTTTTAATGTTTAGATCTTTGATCCATTTTTGTTTTAGTTTAGTACATGGTGAGAGAGATGAGTCTGGCTTCAATCTGCAAATAGGTAGCCAGTTTTCCCAGCATCATTTGTTGAATAGGCTCTCTTTCCTTCAAGACGTTTTTGGCCCCTTTGTCAAAGATCAAATGAGCATAATGTGTCTGAGGATGTTTCTGTATCCTCTGTACTGTTCCATTGATCTACATGTCTGTTTTTGTGCCAGTACCATGCTGTTTTTATCATTCTTACTTTGTAGTATAACTTGATGTCAGGTATTGTGATGCCTCCTGCTTTGCTTTTGTTGCCCAGGATTGCTTTTCCTAATCTGGGCCTCTTCTGGTTCCATATAAATTTTTAAGATTGCTTTCTCTAGTTCTGTGAGGAATTCTGTTAGTATTTTGATTGACAGTGGGTTGAATCTTTGTATCAGTTTTGGAAATATGGCCATTTTGACAATATTGGTTCTGCCTATCCAGGAACAGGGATATCTTTCCATTTTCTGATGTCCTCTTCAACATCCTCCTTCAGGGTTCTGTAGTTTTCTTTGTAGAAGTCATCTACTTTCTTGGTTAAGTTAATTTTTAGGTATTCTATTTTTCTTGATGCTGTATTGAATGGTATTTCTTCCCTAATTTCTTTGTCATTGAGTTCATTACTAGTATACATGAATGTTATTGATTTTTGTGTGTTGCCTTTGCATCTTGTTACATTGATGAAATAGGTTATCCTAATAGTTTTTGATGGATGTTATGGCTTGTGTTTAGATGTTCCCCTAACGCCTCATGTGATCATAGGTGGGAATTTTTCAGAGGTGGCTGGATCTAGAGTGTGTGACACTGCAGTTAATACATGATGCAATGCTAGGTCCAAGGGCACTAGGGTTAAGGGTGTGAGTGCTACTGCCCTAATTAGTCTGAATAAGATTAAAGGGATGCTAGTAAGGCCCCTTGTTGCTTTGCTACCTTCTGCCCACCATGAGCGGTTTCTCTTCTGTGACGCCTGTTTGCCATGCCTCCCTGCCTTGGAGCCACCAATTATGAACTGAAACCTCTACAAACTGTGAACCAGATAAACCTTTCCCCCTTTAACTTTGGGTGTTGGGTATTTTGTCTCGGCGATGAGAAAAGTAACCAAGACAGAATTTGGTACCAGAGAAGTGAAGTAATTGCTGTGATTATACCTGACCATGTGTTTCAGAAGCCTTTGGGACTGGTTTGTGGGAAGAGTTTGGAAAGGTTTGGAGATGCTGGCTCAAAAAGTAGAGTGGGAACACCTTAGGCTGTACTTGGTGGGAGATTCTGGTTAGAGCTCAGAAGACCAGAATGCTGACAGAAATGATGCCAGTATAGACCAGGCTTGGGAGGTTTCTGCTGGGAAGAAGGACTATTGGACTCCAACACTGGCTGTTGGACTCCAAACAGTGTATGTTATGGCTTGGCAGAAAGTTTGTCTGCGTTTTGCTCATGTCCAGAGATTTTGCCTGAAATTGGGATTAAGGGTGGCAGACTTAATCCTGCAGAAGAAATTTCAAGGCAGTCTACTGTTGAGGTGGTGTCATGGCTACTGTTGGGGGCTTTTAGCCACATTTATGTTGAGAATCAAGAGCAAAGAGCACAGTGGAATGATATAGAACATTTTGAGGTTGGGCAGAAAGGAAGCTCCAATAAAGCTGTGAATTGCAAAGACAGATGGAGCAGAGGAAAACTTGATTGCTGAGAAGGAACAGAATAGAAAAGATGGCCTGAGGGCATCACAAGAAGCAGAAAGACTCTATCCTTTGCAGCCTCAAAATTGCAAAAGTGAAAGATTTTCCTTTGAGAAGAGAGCCCCAGAGCACAATGAATGGTGCTCAGCTTAGGGAAGTTGTTCCTTGGGATTTTGTTCATAGGCACTGGACCCCTACAGCTAAGAGAGAAGGAAGACTGGCTACTCCTGCTCCAGCCGGCAGCAGACCTTGGCATCATCCATGCGGTGCTGGTTTTAGGTGCATGCAGAATGCAAGAGTTGTAGGGTCAGGAAGGCTTCCGCTCAGATTCGAGAAGGCCTGGGAGGCCAGGCAGTGTGACCCTGAGAGGGCAATGTGTGCAGCTGTGTGTGTGAAGCCAAAGGTGCAGTGAAGACCCCAGAAGGTTAGAGAAGCCAGGAACATGGACCAACCAAGGAAAGCTGAAAGGAATGAGGAAAGACACAGGCAGTGCTGTAGGGGTGGGGCTCTTTCGAGTTCACAGCTTGCCCCAGATAGCCAGGGGTGCCGGAAGTGGAACTGTGGGATTTAATGTTTGCCCTGCTGGATTTTGGTGTTACTTTGCTCCCAATTCCTTGGTATCCTCCTGTCTGTACCTTTTGGAATGGAGATGTCTCTCTTGTGCCACTGAACGTTGGACGTGTTTGACTTTCTTTGCACTTGCACAGGGGCTGCAGCTAAGAGTTTGCCTTGAGTCTCAGAG